AAATTCTTAATGATATTCATTAATAAATGAGGATAAAACTGTATTGAAATTTAAATCTTGAAGCTTATATAATTGTTTTATACAAAATTTTGATGGGATAAATTTATATGAAATCTCATCTCTAGTTAAAATTATATAAAATAAAATAAACAAAAAGTAAGCTAAGAATGACTGTTTAATTTTTATCGAATTAAATGTTTTTATCTGTTATAGCCTTAAATTTATTCTAAGCATTAGAAGCTAGTTTTACGGTATTAATTGACTTATCAAGCCATTGTGGCGCACCAACCTGGTACACATTTTCCAGATGCCCTGTTATAATATTTTATAATAATCAATCACCAAAACAAAGGTTTACAAATATTATAATTTATAAATATTCTTATTTCATTTTCTTATTTAAATTATACAAATACGACACTACTTGTTTTTAAAATAAGCTAATTTGAAACCTCTATTATCACGAATCATTTTTTTTTTTTACATAAATACGACATTTATTAAATTATACTGTATTTCACGTCAAATAAATAAAGTCAATTATTATGAACAACAAAAACAAATAAAGAGAATTTGATTAAAATAAAATAAAGTAAAATATAAATACAAATAGAAGCAAGTAAGTTTTTTGTATTAAAAAAAAAAAAATTTTTTTTTTGATTCAAAGAAAAAAAAAATGAATTTTATCGTTCAATCTATTATATAATTATTATTAGCAGTATCAGCAGATGCGGCTTCTGCTTCTGCTTGCTCTTTACGTAGTTCGTCACCTCTCTTTTTCATCGCTCTGGAATAAATTACGGTAAATAAAACTAAACAACCAAGCCAAGTATAAAAAACAATAGATCCAGTATAAATAGCTTGGTCAACTGTTGTATTATAAATAATTGCAATACGAGCAGGAACTTCAATAAGTAAACCAAATCCCCAAACAGCAGTTAAAACATAAAATGTTCTTCGAAAGCTAGGATAAAGTCTCCAATACCTTTCCCAACGATCAGGAATAGGTTCATCCTCCGTTAAACCTTCAAGACTTCCCATTTCCAAATTTTTACTATTATAAAATATTAATGGTCGCATTTTAAATGATCCAATTTTGATTGGAATTAAAGTTATAATGAAGATTAAACCAATTACACCAGTGACAAATGATTCTCTTAATAAGAATAATTTTGCATCATTTTGATATACAGATACAATAATTCCAGCAATAAATCCGGTAATAACTAATAATCCTATGACATTGATTTGTCTGCGAAAGATCAAATTAACAATAACTGATAAAGTTGGTGGGATACCAGATATGATTAATGATATGATAGTTGATAAATGCTTTGAAACAACAAAATAGATGATTAGGGGTAAACCGATATCGGTAATCGTCATTGATACCATTCTTAATATTATTGTTCTTTGAGATGATTTAGGTTTAGAAGGAGTCGATTGATCCTCATCATCTTTTTGGATTGGTTCTTTTGACGACATCTTAAAATTTTTTTTATAAAATTTTATAAATTTGGATATAAATTTTTTTAAAAAAGCTGGTTAGCTCTGTTTTAAATTTTTATTAAACCCGAAAAATTAATCTTAGTATGGCCTAAGTTATAAAAATAATTGGTTTTTTTTTTCTTTTTAAAATTTCCTATTCAACCAAAAATTTAAATATCATTACCAGTATTTGTTAGACCCTACCGCCGTATAATATCCCTTATTATACTTACTTTAGATGAAAATGTGTTATAATGTGTAAATTTTGAATTTATACAAGAACCCTTATTAAAATTTTGAAATTATAACTATTTTGATATGATTTTGAATTATTATTCAAGAAAAACTGATAGAATTTATTGTTTTTTGTTTGTTTTTTCATAATAAAATTCATATGATAATATCGGTATTATACACATTAAAATATGTTATACATATTGTAAACACGTACCATGACAACAAATAAAACGAATAAAGTATCCATATTCGGATATATTTTTTTTTAGGGTTTTCCAACCAAATTGCGAATTTTATTTACAAGGAATGGATTTACATATTTTTAGAAATTATGATAATAAGATTGCCAATCAAATTGCGAATTTTATTTACATAATTCAGCCCGAAAAAAAATATAAGAAATGGATTTTTGAATATATCTTTAGCCATTAATAGAAATGTTCAGAGAAACAATTTTAACTAATGATACAAATCGAAAATCGAAAAATCGATTAGTTGTCTACTAGACCAACTAATTGATTGGAAATTTTTGAAGATTGAAAAATTTTGTCAACTTATAATAAAATAATCGATCAAAATCGATAAATCGTTTAGTTGACAACTAATCGATTGAAAATTTTTGAATTAGTTAACTAAACGATTGAAAAATTGTAACAATAACTCTGTCATAACTCTGATAGATTTCTACCTGGAATTTTGTTTTTACCCAAAATATTGAATTATATCTAAATCAATATTTTTCATAGTCCCTGATCCGATGTGCATAAGCTCTAATCTGATGCAAGAATACATTTGAAGCACAACATATATATTAATAAAAATAACTTTTGGTTTTATTTCTATCACTTTTTATTAATTTATATTATTCAATATAAGTTTTGTTACCTTTTAATCGTTTCACTTATGTCAGTTTTGGCAAATTTTACTAGTTTAGACACCTTTCAACAGTTTCGACACCTTTTATTAGTTTCGTTAGTTTCATTAAATGATCTTTCTATAAATTAATTTGTTCTATAAAATGTAAATTTCTGTGAATTTGTTTTCTGCAAAGTAGAATTCTGTCAAGTGATTTTCTGTAAAATAAGTGCCACCCAAAAATTTTAACTATATTTCGTAACAAAGTGCAAAAATCAGATCTGAAAGGTTCCAATATAGATAATAAACAGGTCTTAAAATACGAGAGTGATGCACAAATAACAGGGATGGTAAATAACTTAAGATGACCCAAATGACTCAAATGACAAATGACTAGTCATTAGTCATTTCAAAACTCAAATGACTTAAGAAGGTCATTTAACTTATGTTAGTTGATAATCTAATGCTATTTAGCCAATCTAAATTGATTATTAGGCAAAAATTAATTTTTACAAAATATGATCGATAATAGTAGCTACATATAAAAGTCAAAGTATCATTAAGTTAATCGATATTTACGTCTTAATTAAAGTTGTTCAGGAGAACAATTTCATATATAATGAATATTTCATACAATTTGATAACTTTTTATTAAGCTATTTTTATGTCTTACATTTACAAGAAAAAAAAATTCAAAATTTTTCATGTAAATATAAAATGTAAAAATACTTAATAAAGAGTTATCAAAATTACATGAAAGTTTTATTATAGATACAAATTGTTTTTCTGAACAACTTTAATTAAGATGCAAATGTCAATTAATTTAATATTATTGGACTTTTATAAATAGCTATGATCATCAATTAGTGAAATAATATTATTAATATCTGACTAATAAAATTACTTTATATGTAAATGACCTAAATGATCTAGGATCCTGAGCAATTTATGTACAGCTAAGATTTTTAAAAAATCTTAACAGATTACTAAAAAAGTAAAAGATCTGCATAAAAATAGTTAAAAATAAGCATATATATTACTAAAAATAGTAAAGATCTGCAAAAAAATAGTCAAAAATAAGCAAAATTAAATTGTCATCTATTTATGTATAGCTTGGGGTCCTAATAACCTAAATGATCTGATTATTATTTGATGACTAGAGGCAGAGATCTGAATATAGTCAAAATTATCAATTTATATAACACTTTAGTATTACTAACCTAAAAAAATTTTGCTACTAGCATTAGAGTTAGGGTTTAGGTTTATTTTGTTTTGATTTTATATTATACCTGATCTTGAATTTTAATTTAACCAGATAGTACTAGAGTTGCTAATTTATATTGATATAGCTAAATCATCTAATCAGAATACAGAATTTGAAGTAATGTAATCTGAACTCTAAAAAATTATGAAATCTATAGACAGACAAAAGTTTTATTTTTGATAGATCTGTGAATATATATCAATAACTACTTGACCAAATTCAAAAAAATTTTTGTTTTAATTTTATAGATATATGGAATTCAAATAAAAAAAAATTCATCAATTTTGATTAGGCAGTTGTTGAGATATCTTCACTCAAAGTTAGTAAACAAATTTAAAATGTCTATTAAAATAAGTATATCAAATTTTTTCTAAAACTTAAGTAAAGATATATTAATAACTACTTGACCAAATTCGATTAATTTTTTTTGTTTTAATTCTACAAATATATAGAATTCAAATAAAAAAAAATTCATTAATTTTAGTCAGGTAGTTGTTGAGATATTCTTGCTCAAAATTTTATAAAAAATTTTGTATAAATTAATATTTTGAATTTATTTACTAACTTTAAGCAAAGATATCTCAACAACTACCTAACCAAAATCAATAAATTTCTTTTTATTTAAATTCTATATATTTGTAGAATTAAAACAAAATAAAAATTATTGAATTTGGTTAAGTAGTTATTAAGACATCTTTATTCAAAGTTTTAGAAAAAATTTTATATACTTAATTAATAAATGTTTTGAATTTGTTTACTAACTTTGAGTGAAGATATCTCAACAATTATCTGATCAAAATTGATGAATTTTTTTTTATTTGAATTCTATATATTTATAGAATTAAAACAAAAAAAAATTTTTTAAATTTGGTCAAATAGTTATTGAGTATATTCAAATTTCAAAAATATTTTACTAAAAGTATATCAAGAATATAATCAAATTTCAAGTATATCATAGATCTATTAAAAATATAACTGTAAATCTATCAAAAATAAAACTTTTACAATAGTGCTATAGATAGAATTATAATAGAGTAGTATAATTCAGATCAGTTCTAGAATAAATTTAACTCAAGTTAGAATAGATTAAAGTTATAATTAAAAATCTAAAATAAAATTAAAGTAAACTAGAACAACTACTAAGCAAGTCTAAAGTAGTTTTAAAGTAAACCTAATCTAACCTAACTTAATCTATTAACAACCTTAGCTATAGAACTATATAGTTATATAACTATCAATATAACAATTTTTGAAATATTAAACAAAATATTTTGATAACTATCTGATAAAATTTATTAAATTTTTTTTTTTTTTTTTTTTTTTTTTAAGGTGAGGTTTTGCTCTTATTTTTATTGGTAAGCTTGTTAGAGAAACCATATGAGGTTGCTTGGAGTTACAAATTTAGATACAAGAATAAAGCTCAGACTATAGAAAGAAGAACTAACTAATTTATCTGCAACCTAAACTTACTAGAATAGTTAAAACTTACCTAGATTTGAATATTTAGAATGTAGTTAGTAGGAGTACTGTATTTAATCTACATAGAGAACCAAATGTTAATTTTGCAAAGGGCTAATCCTTTTGGAGGACAAAAGTTGGAATTTGTATGTTATTGGTTAGAAAGACCACAAATGCAATTAAATGTAAGTTGTGTTTGGGAACATTGTAGTAAGTTTTGAAAGATAGAAGGAGGAGTTTAAGAAGTTAGATGCTGAGAGGTGTTGTGTATATTTTTCCAATTAGATAGATTTAGGCAGTATAGCTTCCAGGCCTGCTCGTATAGATTGTGGGATAGCTTGAATAGTAGTTTAATAGTTATATCTGATACTATTTTGTATGAATTAGTATATAGATTTATAGTATTGATTATAGCTTTAGAGACAAAGCCTTGTAATGTAGAGAAGATATTAGCTTAGTTGAAAGGAGTATTAGATAAGAATAATAAGCAGATATGTTGAGGGAGTTGTTGTTGGAGTTGATTTATTTTGTAGAGTTGTAAGTCTAATAGAGAGGAAGTAATAACCTGTTTGATAGTTTGTAGTAGTATATGAGAAGAAGGTATAGTATTAGGGTAAGTAATCCAGTAGAAGCTATGTTCATGAGAGTTGCATGAGATGCAGTTATTAGTTGGATATAAGTAAGGATATAGGTTGTGTAGGTTAGAGATAGAAGGAAGAGAGTTTAGAAAGTTTTTTATGTGAAATAATTTTGTTTGACAAGTTTAAAAGTCTGTATAGTTGTAGATTTGTTTGTGATTATTATTGAGAAAGAGCTATGTAGTATTCCAGTCAATTTGATGAGAGATTGGTATGATATGGCTTATGCAGTTTTGGGATGACCACATAGCAATAATATGAGTATTGCAAATATTTTTAATAGAGTAGCGAGTTGGTTGTTTAATATTAAGATTGTTATATTAGAGGAAGTATAATAGATTGTAAAGGTTGTCCTGTTTGAAGTCTAAATAGTTAAGAGATATATTGTGTTTAGTAAAAGAGTTAGTGAGATTATTAAAAATATTATCTTAGTATACAGGAACTTTGTGAAATATAATATTTAAAGAGAGAGATTTGATTAAGTTGAGTAGAGTATGCCAAATAGGCCAGTAGTTGTAAGAGTATATCTTGTTAGGTTTAGGAGG